CTCAGTAAAGTAGTTCTTTCTAATATCTAATCTAAATCTCCCTTGCCGCAACTTCAGACCATTTCCTCTGGTCCTGTCGTTCGTCCTTTGGGAGAAGAGGCCAACCCCCACCTCTCTACACCCTCCTTTCAGGTAGTTGTAGAGGGCAAGGAGGTCTCCCCTCAGCCTCCTCTTCTCCAAACTAAACATGCCCAGTTCCCTCAGCCTCTCCTCATAGGACTTGTTCTCCAGGCCCCTCACCAGCTTGGTGGCTGGTGGTTTGAGAGAGAAGAGCAAAGGTTTGGAAACAAGGGCACACCCCAAGGTGACAAACTGGCAGGGAATGAGACTGAAGGACACCTGGAGCACCCTGTCTCTCTTTGGTACCTTTGGGGTCCACCACCCAAGAACCACCCACACCTACCTGAGAGGGGCCTGGCAGAGCTTCTGAGCAGGGATGGCATACCCAGCACGGTCTGATCTTCAAGAAGCCAAGTTGTTTCTCTGCCCACAACAGCCCAGGCTCGGGAGAGAGCAGCTGAGGAACATCTCTCCTTGCCCTCCTGAAGGATGTGCCTTAGCACAAGGGATGGCTCAGCCCTGAGCATGTCATGTTGGATGCTAATGAGCCAGCTGGGGAGCCGGGATGTTCCCAAATGACTCAGCTGAAGAGATGCAAGTGAAGTAACTTCCCCACCAGGATAAAACAGGCCAAAAAAGCCAAACAGGCAATCGATCTGACCGTCACACCAAGTTGTTTCTCTGCCCACAACAGCCCAGGCTCGGGAGAGAGCAGCTGAGGAACATCTCTCCTTGCCCTCCTGAAGGATGTGCCTTAGCACAAGGGATGGCTCAGCCCTGAGCATGTCATGTTGGATGCTAATGAATGCTCGATGATCTCAGAGGTCCCTTCCAACCACTAAGATTCTGTGATTCTGTGACTTGCCGTGGTGTGGAGAAGGCATGCGAGCAGGCTAAAGCCCTGCTCAATGGGCATCAGCATCCTCATCAAACAGAAGCAGTGACTACATTCTGGGAAGTAAGGATGGCACTAAGTTGTGAACAAGCAAAAAACAAGGCTTTATTGGCTTTGGTTCTTTTCATTTTTTTTGGAGGAAGTGAAGAACGTGGCCAAATAAACAAGAGCAAAAAGGCTGTGTCCTGCTCTGGAAAAGCATGGAATTTGAAAAACGACAGAAGAGATGGCAGAAACAAGCACTTATTTCCCCCAGGCTGAGTAACACCCAATCACTGGGGACACTAACTCCATCTATTTCACATGCAACTTGGACAGGAGGACAACACCACAATCCACTGGCTGGTTTAAAGTGCAGCACTGCAGATCAAGCAAAGCCTCGTCCCTTCTCCACACAGAGTCCACCTCCCAAAATTGCAGACTGAGCACTCCGAGAACTAGGGGGTTTTTTCTATCTTTATAGATTATATTCCTTATTCTGTTCCTTTCTGCAGTTAATAAACCAAGTAAGGAAACCACCTGTGGACAAATTCTTGCCTAAAGGCAAGCACAGCTCTTGCTGAACCCAGTAGGGGCTAGCCCCTACCCAGCAAATGCTGAACCAAACACTTAATTCTGAGGATGCCTCAGGAAGAGCCTCATTTAAATTAAGCTCACACAGAACAAGGCCCAAGGAAAGCTGTCTAAGAGCTGAATGCAGTGTATTTTTACCCCAACACACAAGATCTCCCAAGCATGAACGTCTTGGCTGAGATCTCAGGAGACCTGTGGGGTGGAGAAAAGCAGAAGAAATGGGGAGCTAGGCAGTAACAACGCTGCTGAGTGAGGCTGGGGACATTGCCATCTTTTGGGGACTTTCACAGCACTTTGCTCAATTTCCATGACTTCACCTATGTTAGGGCATAGAGGGGAAAAAAAAAAAACCAGCTGTGTGTTCTCTACAGGCAATCAGACATGTTCCCTGTAGGTAAACAAACCTCTAAAATCAGACTACGTGAGCATTCGGATAGTCATCCGTGCTGCTGTGGGACTTCTGTAGGGCTGTTGTATGGCTGCTGTCCTGACCAGACAGCAGGTACACCTTCATTTTAGTTCTTCTTTTTCATTATGGTCATCAAAATTTTAAGTGGAAAGCCCCAGTTCAATGTAAAATAAAAAAATCTGCTTTTATAAACAGAATTCTGCCTTTTTCCTGAGGCATCAGGATGATTTGTCAGATCTTTTTTTCACCATTTTTAGTGTGGGGAAAGGATCCCCTTGTCCTAAATACACTGGGCCAGCCCCCAGTTACACTGCAAGTGTAATGCCAGAGTCCAATCCCATCGCAGCAGGCTCACACCACAAGCTGTTAGGAAAGTAATCTATACCCTGGCAATATAACCATAAATATTTCCTCCAGCCATCTGATAAAATGGATTGCCATTCCATAGCTATGTGTGTATTTATTTACCATTCATGGATACAACTGCTCCTATTGCTTGGTTAGCTGGTTCAGCAAGTGTGGCAGGATTCAGGATTCCTCATTGTGCTACCATATGACTAAAAAAAAAATCCAATAAACCAGGTGATGTTTAGAAACCTGCAGCAAGCCAAAACTGGGCTGGGCTTTCTTTGCAGGACACTGAGGCTCTCTCGAGCTGAATACACTGAAATATTTCCTTATATCTCAGTAAACGTGTCTTCCTCATTGCATTCTCCCTGCCAAATCTTTCAAATCAACATTTTTAAAACCTCAGAGTGAGCTCTGTAACATAGGACTGCATTTTAAAGCGAGCAACTCTGAACAGATCTGTGAAATCCGTACTCTGAGATATTTGAAATTTTGGGCAATCTGACAATTTGGTATTAGCTTAGCAGCCTTGGGAGAGACATTGTCTAATAAAAAGATATTGGACAAACTCCAGTTAATTTTTAATCCTGAAAGGTTTCCAGAATCTTGCTTTTAATATTGCTGGCAAGGTATCCCAAGGAGTAGACACATAAATCAATGCATCAGCTCTCCATGTGCTGCTGAAACTCCATTTGCTACATTTCACCCTGCCTTAGCGGATATATCAGGGAAGATTTTGGGGAATGCTGCACATGAGCTGAACCCTCACATGCCAACGGGGACATCCTTGGCTCAGCTTGCTGAGAAAGGAGCAAGGAAGGGGGGGGGGGGGACTGCCTCCCCTTCTTTCTACTTGCCAGCTTCCTCAAAGCTGCACTTGTATGAAAATTAACTTTCCCATAAGCAACAACGCAAGGAGAAAATCCCCAGACATTTTTAATTTTTTTCTATTCAAATCCTTTTTGCTGTTATTTTCTAGATTTGCAGTCATTGAAAGGATTCCTTGGAGACTGCTTCTGTGTGAATCCAAATAAACTTTCTTTCTCTCTTTCTACAAGCTACATTTTCCCCTTTATGTCCCCTTACTATTTGGTGCCATATAGTTTCTCAGCACGGTCCCTCCTACAAAAAGGCTTCCAATGGAGAAGAAAGGAATCATGACATGCCAAGGAGGAAGAAACTCAAGTTTGCACAGTCCACTGCTAGACCTTGAGCCCACCCACTGCTGGAAGTCTCCTAAGGGATAGGAGGTCACCACCCACCAGCTAAGGTTACTGCTTATCAC